GACCTAATTATTTATCGGAAATATTTCATAGTCAACAAAATATCACACAGACGCTAAAATTTTTAAAAGACGCATAACATTTTAAAACTGCCTTAAATACACCGAGTGCTGAGAAAAAATATAAAAAATCATTAGTCTAGAATATAATGTTTGGCGCCTCTAATTTGTAAACAACTCAGTACAGATAAACATTATGAACGCTAAAGTATTTAATTTTGTTTTTTTTTAATTGAAATTTAAAATTCTAATAATTAAAAGAAAAAAAAAAAAAAAAAAGACGCTGGCCACACCAGCGCGGCGTCCCAGCCAAGCTGGCGTCCTATGCGACCGCATAACTCGCATTGCCATTGCACCGGCCCTGCTCATATAATAACGACAATAATAAATCATTATTTCGCTAAATTGTTTATCTCCATGTGAGACTTCTGGAATTTATTATTCTGATTATTTTCAAACGGGCCTTCCTTATCTTCTTAACTTGAGAAGAAGATAAGGAAAGCCTTTTGAAAATAATTAATAATAAAATAATAAAAATAATAAAAAAAATTACTGGCAATCAAAAAACATGCTCAATTTTCCACCCCTAAATGATTATAGTTAATAACAAAAGTATTTATGAATCAAAAGCTATATCTAACGAATTTAATAAACACTTTATCGAAATTGGCCCTAAATTAGCTAATAAAGTTCCCTTTACCCCAGTCGCCTTTAATGATTTCTTAGTACCAATGGATGATTGCAACTGTTCCAAAGAAATATACTCAGAATTATCTTTTGATGAATTCGAAATCGCCTTCAAATCACTAAAAAAAAAGCTATCGGAGCTGATGGAATTAATGGTGACTTATTATTATCGAGTGTTTTGATCATCTCAAAAATATTCTTTATAAAGTTTATAAATCATCTGTCCACCAAGGAGTTTTTCCTGATCGTCTAAAAATTGCAAAAGTTATTCCAATTTTGAAAGAACGAGACTGCTGCAATATCAGTAACTATCACCCTATATCTATCCTTTCTACCTTTTCAAAAATCTTAGAGCGTATTATGTACAATAAAGTATACAATTATCTTGTCTCCAATAATCTTTTTTATAATAATCAATTTGATTTCAAAAAAAATAATTCTACCGAACATGCAATCATCCAATTTGTACGAGAAATCTCAAATTCCAAATTTGTACGAGAAATATCAAGATCCCAATTTACGAAGGTCCCAATTTACAAAGGTCCCAATTTACATTATTGACTTGTCGAAGGCTTTTGATACTGTTGACCATGAAATCTTTCTTGAAAAACTAAAATACTACGGACTAAACTATATAACTATAAAATGGCTTCGTAGTTGCTTATCAAACCGCAAACAATTTGTTTTTATTAATAGCTATAACCAAAGCCATCTACTAAATATTTCCTGTGGTTTCTCTAAGGTTCTATCTTGGGGCAACTTTTGTTCTTAATCTATATAAATGACTTAAATAAAGCCTCAAACTTAATGAGTATCATGTTTGCCGACGACACTAACTTATTCCTGACTAATAATGACATATCCAAACTCTTTTCTACAATGAATGATGAACTTAAAAACATATCTACTTGGTTCAAATGTAACAAGTTAACTCTTAACATTAATAAAACCAAATGGGTTCTTTTCCATTCACCCCCTAAAAAACGCTATTTACCCTAAAATTTGCCCAAAATATTTATTGATAAAGTTGAAATAAAAAGAGATTTTGTTACTAAATTTTTAGGAGTGGTTCTGGACGAGAACATTACATGGAAACCGCATATAGAATATATCTGCTCAAAAATATCTAAAAGTAACGGAGTCCTATATAAATCTAGATCATATTTAAATAAAAAAACGTTAACCCAACTCTATTACTCACACCTATATTAACTATGCCAACATAGCGTGAGGAAGCACCGAAAAAATTAAGCTAAAATGCCTTTTTCGCCGTCAGAAGCATGCGATCCGATTGATTAATTTTGCGGATCGTTTTACTCATTCCAAACCATTATTTATGGAGATGAAAGTACTTAATATTTACGAGCTCAATGTTTATAACATTTTATGCTTTATTTACATGTGGAAAAACGATTTAACTTTACCTGACTTTAAAGACCTTTTTTACCTAAACCTAATTGATAAATATTTATTTAGAAATAAAAATTTTATACATGAACCTATTTGCAGAATGTTATATTATATAATACATTTCGAGCACCCTATCTTTGGAATAAAATTGTTATACCTAATTTTGATATATCCAATACATTTCCGAAATTTAAAAGTAAACTTAAAAATTTTATTTTATCTATTGATGATATATTCAAATACTTTTTATAACAATCACGTATTTGTCTTTTTAATTGTAAGAGTGTCGTATTTTCTCTTGCCTTTTAAAAAAAGAGATGTATTACTGTATTTACTATGTATATATTTGTATTTATATATTTACGTTTTTATAAGATCTGATGATATGATCAGACTTTTTCTTATATATATCACTAGTGGTTTGATTTATATTTCCAATTTATATCACGATTTATTGTAATTTTTTAATTTTGTTAATGTATTGAATTTAAAAAACTTGTAAAAGGTTCTGATGATAAGATCATTATGATCTTCTTTCAGAAGCCTTGTCTGTTTATCTTTGTAAACAACGACAAAAATGGAAAAATAAAAAAAAATTAAAAAAAATTAGCAAAAACATTTTAATTTATTTCATAACTTAAGCCTTAAGTTATGAAAAAATTTAAAATGTTTTTGCTGTCCTTTTCTACACAACATTTTAATAAAAACTATTAATGATTTTTCTTTGGATATTATGAATAGATGTGAAATCATAGCATGGATACTTTACAAAAATTTTTTATTTCTGTGGTTTTGAAGAATGTCTTTAAATATCATTTAAAGACATTTATTTTTAGTACATTTAATCGTGGAACCTTCTACTGCTTTTTTTCTACAGAAGTTAATAACAAGTTTTGATTTTATTGTTGCACTGTGTATAACAAGAAATGTTTTTGATTTAATTCTTAATTAAACGATAGTGCAGAGAAGGAATAATGATATTTTTTATAGTTTGAATTTTATTCAAGCATTAAATATGTTGTCTCCACCTAAAAATTTGTTGATCTCGATATTTGACCTTCAGATATGCTTTGAACAAGCATAAAAATTCCATTTTCAATTAATTTAAATTGGTCACTGTTCCTTTGCTAGACCATTAGAGTACTAAGTTTAACGCAATGTTTGATGATACAACTTTAAAGTGTTATAAAGCACCTGTTTTTCAGTTTCTTCGTTTTAATTTTTAGTTTCTTCCAAAACGATTGCAGAAACTCAGTGTTCTTATTATACTTGTTGGAAAGACTTCATATCTTTTAATGTCTATTATATATCAGGTTTACCAAATCCTTTACCAAAGACTTGATTAGGCTTATTTATTATTGCCAAACCAAAGGCTTTATTACCTATAGAAATTTGGTTGAATTTCACTTAACTGGCTGAATTTCGTAAATTAGCTCCAATCTAAAAATATTGTTTTAATAACAAGTTTGTTATAAATATTTATGAACTGTGTTTTAACTATAATTTAAATATAATAAAAGTATAATTTGGAAAAATGTCTAACTACCTTTTGTTAAACAGCTATCAGCTATTTTTATTGCCAGACATCTTTGTAAAAATATTACAGTTATTACAATAAGTTTTTTGACTCTTGGTCAGTATTTATAAGTTAATTTATAAGTAAAAGTTATTTACAAAATTATATTAAAAAATTTACATAGTAAAATTTTCCAAGAAAAATTTTTTGCAAAATGGTGTGAGGATGCAAAGGTCTTTGTCAGTCATTATGAACTTGTAAACAAGTTTGTTCCCAGTTAGTTAATAATAAAAGTCTTTTGTACTTGATAAGTTTGATTTTTGTTATAAATAAAATTTATAAAATCTTGCGCCTGGTATGAATTTACTATCATAGTCTTGCGTCTATTATGGATTTACTATCATGGTCTATCAAGGGAGGGGCATACTTTTTTTTTTGGACTTACACCAAAAATTTCCTGTACATGCCCCTGATAATAGTATGCATATTGCTATAAGTCTTGGCTTCTAATTGTAAAAGCAAAGAAAAATAAAAAATCACGCAATCATATACAGAAATAGAAATACTTTGTTTTGTTAATAGAAGGAAAAAAAAGTTTTACTTTTAAATTAAACAAGTTTTATCTTAAATTAAACACTTTTATCGATTAATTTTTTATAAAAAATCAATTAAATAACTTATCATTTCCGCTTTCCCAAACTCTTGAACGAGCGTTTTTTTTTATATTTTTATTACAAGCTGAACAAGCGTTGTTTATCGCGCCTAGAAGTTTTAAATATTCCGTTTTGTGTTTTACGTGAAGAAAACGATCGCGCACAAGCCCTGTACATATATTTTTCAATATCGGTATTAAGCCAAGACAATACCGGTATTGCAGTACTTAAAAAAATCCGGTAATACCCGCATTCCGGTATCGGTACTACCGGTTTTGGATGCACTAGTTTTGAAGATGCAAAAAAAATATATAATTAAAAAGTTATGAAAACAATGAACCAATGTTTTCTACGAATAGAAAATATTACCAAAAATGTTAAACTGCCCAATAAAAAAAGTTTGAGCAACGTAATATTTGTAAGTATTTTATTCAAAAAGTATATGTTTTTTAAATAAATAATAAGTTTTGCATCGAATATTAAAAAAAAAACTCACATTTTTTTAAAAAGTTTAGTATTTTTTTCTAAATGGCCACCTTAAAATATGCGTGAAGTGATTTTCTATCAAAGCTTAGATCACACGTGCTTTTAATTCTTTTAAAAAAAATGTAAATAATTAAAACAGTTACTTGATTGTTAAACTGAAAGAAATTACCAGCAAATACATTGAAACAATAAAATGATTTATTTGTGAGTTTTTTTTTATTGATTTATTTTTGTTTAATAAAAATTTGATTGTTTAATAGTGATTTAGCATCAACCAAAGTTATTTAAAATGTCAGCTTTAATTCCTGATTTTATATTGTTGAAAATATTTGGTTATTTGTCGTTGAAAGAACTTATTACCGTTAGACGTGTTTCTCAGCGCTGGAGATACATATCTTGTGATAAAACATTATGGAGAAGAATTTCCATCAAAGAAATGGGTATCTGCGAACATTTGGTTACCGATAAGATTGTCAGTTGTTTAACAAGCTACAGCAAAAATATTGAGTTACTCTCTTTATGCGATTGTTTGAATATAACTGATCAAGCATTAAAAAAAGTCTCTTCCAGTGTTTCAAGGCTTCGTTTTTTAGATCTTAAAGGATGTGTAAATATTTCAGATCAAAGTATAGAAATTTTATCGAGGTCATGTTTATTTTTAGAATCTGTTAACTTAATGGGTACATTAGTCACCTATGTTGGTTTAAGTTATTTAGTAGAAAAAAATAAACACGTCAGTGAGTTAATTGTGTCATCGTTTTCTCTCACAATGGATTCGTTAAGATGTATTTCTCAAAACTGCATAAACTTGATACATCTTCAGGCCGAGCCTTCTTTAACTTTTATCGATGACAAAAATAAATCAGTATTATCATCTGATATGATTCAAATCTTGTCAAAGTATTGTCGTCAGTTAACAATACTTATACTGTACTACGATGAATGCCATCTGACAAATTCAGATCTTATCATGCTTGGAAAATGTTGCCAACATCTTGAGTGCTTAGAAATTTATTTAGACTCTGATAGTTGGTTATCAGATGAAGGTCTTGTAAACTTTTGCTTATGTGTACCCAACTTGCTTGCTCTTAAATTAAATGAAACTAAAGTGACTGATTATACACTCTTTGCAATTGCAAGTAACTGTTCTGATATTGAAGCGTTAACACTTGGTGGTTGCGATGGTGTTACAGATCATGGTTTTTTGATATTATTTGAAAATTGTAAAAACCTTTTAAGTCTATCTTTAGGTGTTTGTGATGTCTCTAGTGCAAGCATTTATTTTATGACAAAATCGTCATGCGCTCAAAATCTAATTCATTTATCTTTGCAAAGTTGGAAGATTAGTGACGATGATCTACTTTGTATTTCAAAAAATATTCCGAGTCTGAATTATCTTTCAATTCTGAAATGCAAATTTTTAACAAACGTTGGACTAAGAGTAGCAATAGTTCATTGGAAGTATCTAAATGAGTTAGATATCTCTCATACAAACTGTGCAACATGTGATTTTGATCTTTTTTATCTTGCAAACACTAGTAAAGATCTCTTCAGGATAGCAGTTTACGGTTGCCATGGTGTTACTAAATCAGGTATCAAGGCGCTTGAATATATATTTAATGTTTGTGTTGAAAACTAATCTAAACTTATGAAGCTTTAAGAAGATTTAAAGTTTTTATTTTTTGCTTGTTTTTAAATTATAATTTTAATTTTTTAAAGTTATTTGTACTTTATAGACATTAATTTATACTCAAACTTGTTTTTTTTACAAATTTAGTCACGAGTCCTTAATACAAAGGCAAGAATTAAAGTTTATATCTCTATACTAAAAAATGAAAATCGGGCTTAATAAATTGAAAATAATTATTTCAATCGCCGATAAAAACAACAAACTTTTTAGTGGCTTTAAAATCGTCGACCTAGCAACATCTTCATTTGTTGAAAATCAGCTTTTTGTTTATTTCTCATCAAAGTATTATGATAAAGTTACAAACAACAAAATTCTAGTTTTTAGAAAATATGTATTTTCTAACAGCTGCTTTTTTCATAATTTCGAAAGGATTTGATATGCTGCTATTACTATATCATCATATCAAATTGAAACTATGATAAAGCAGCTGTTAGAAAATGCGTATTAGACAGTTTTATGCGTTATTTGAAAAAATATTAGTTTGGACTCATAAATTATAAACCATCTACACAACCCCTAGTTTATTAGATTTGAGAAAAATTCTCACCCATCTTTTATTAACCTAACCCCCTCCTCCCCCGTTTCTTAGACCTGGAATAAAACTTTCGTCGCCTTCCACCTATTATACCCCATCCCTTTCTTGTATTAAGGACTCGAGAGTACTTATATAAGTGGTGGTATGCCAAATACCATGTGTGGTTTAAAAACTACGATGTGTGTTTTAAATATTATGATGCGTGATTTAAATCCCATATATAGTTTAAAAATGCAAGAAAGTTTCTTTAAAAAAACCATGGTGTACAACTTCTTGCGAATTACCAACAATAAAAGTTAATTTTAAAGTTTGAAAGTCTTAATAAAATTTTAAAGTTTCTCAACAAAAAAATTTATTAAGACTTTGAAATTTTTATTTCGCTAATTCAAATGTATGTTAATTGAATCAATTGATCGTATTTTTTCAAGGTTTTAAAAGTTTAGTAATTTTTTATTTAAAACACAATTATATTGAAGTTATTTGTTAGCTTCATTTATAATACCCAGAAAGCACAAGACGTTATTAAAACATTTAAAAAATTAAGAAAACGAATACTAACGTTTTTTAAACGTTTTTAAAACGATCTATGCTTTTTGGGTATGTACTGGGGTTGTTCGCCGTAAACAAAAACTTACGAAAATTTCGCATTTTTATCTTTCGTATTTCAAGTTGCTATTGCGGAAGTTGTACATGCGCAAATTCATCTTCCGTAACGCAAAATACCCCTTTACGAAAAAAAATAAATCATTTCGTAATAAAACTTGCGAAACAGTTCCATACGGAATGAGCGTGTGCTTACGGAATAGACTCAAAAGTATTCATTAAACTGTTAAACAGAAAAAATGTTGTTATCTATTATTTAAATAAAATAACGCTGTTAAATAATTCTTCAATAGTTTATACATATATATCTGGTATACATACATACATATATATATATATATATATATATATATATATATATATATATATATATATATATATATATATATAATATATATATATATATATATATATATATATATATATATATATGTATAGATATATATATATATATATATCTGGTATACATATACATATATATATATATAAATATATAAATACACACATATATATATAAATATATAAATATACATACATATATATATATATATATATATATATATATATATATATATATATATATATATATATATATATATATATATATATATATATATATATATATGTATATATATATACATATATATATATATATATATTTACATATATATATATATGTATGTATATATATATATATATATATATATATATATATATATATATATATATATATATATATATATATATATACTCTTGCATATACATACATATATACATATATATACCCGCGCGAGTAGATGTCGTGGGGGGGGGGGGTGCCATTACAACTCAAAAAAAGGTCCTCGTTAATAAACTTAAATTTACTTATACGTTAACGTTACATATACCAATATACTTGCCGACTGACTGTCTAAATTACTGACTAACTTGTCAAAAGGGTCTACATTTGTCAACTAAATGAACGAAAAAATCATTGATGGGGGGGGGGGGAGGGGCAGTCACACACCCCCATCGCGCCGGCCTTGTATGTATGTATGTATATAAATATACAGTGACACCTAGAAAGATTAAGTTAGAATGGAAGGGGGGGGGGATGTAACAAAAATTAGGGGTCTAACGCAGCTAAAATTTAAATAGAAAAAACTAGAACTTTGAGATGAAAGAGATGAAAGAGTTTTTAGGGAAAAGACAACGCTCCCTCCGCAATATGTCTCTACGTCAGTGTTTAAATATATATTTATATTTATCAAGTATAGACTTTAGTTTACTTCCGACTTTCGATTGCCTTTGACTTAGCCGGTTTACTATTTAAATTTTTATATATAAACACTTTATAAAATATTTTTTTTTTTTTTTGTAGTTAAATCGGTGCTCCCAGAAGTCCTTACGGTCTTATCACAGAACACCGCGGAAGAACATTTAACAGGAAGTTCACGCGTCCTTCCGTACCAATGTCGGGAGCTGGCATCAAACGTCGGACCTCTGGGTTCTGAGCCAGAACTCTAACCACTGCGCCACGGCAGCTCTTGGTATTTATTCAAATATTTGATTCCATTACAAATATATTAAAATACTTGGTTCCGTTCCATTACAAGTTTAATTAATCTTTAAGCCTTTGTTGGTCGTTGTCAGTTCTTACTGAATCTTGCTATTAATTTATCACTACCTTTCAGACTAGCTAGCTCTGAAACTTTCAGTGCTTGTATAGTCGTGGTGAGCTTCTATGTTAAAATTGTTGTTAAAAGACCCGGGGAAGTGTCGTGCCCGCTTTTTTGCAACAAAATCTTGCAACTAATTTTTTACTGCTCTTTAAAACAGCTAGAGCTGTAAAACTTTCAGTAGTTGTAAAGCCCCAATAACGTTGGGATGTTAAAAATTAAAACATTTTCCAGGGCCAACGATACAAGGGGCAACAACTGCCCATTTCAACCTTCCTACCCTGTCTTGTTTTTTTGTTTTTTATAAAGGAAAATATTTTAGAAAAAATTATTGAAACAGATGACTTTAAAATTTTTTTAAATTTACTTGTTGTTGTTGAGGTAATAAAAGCGAAAGCGCATACACACTTCCCGCTTAAAATAATAGAAGCGAAAGCGCACCTCAGCTCATATCGTAGAGCACCTCAAAAATAAAAAAAATTGAAACTGACTAAACATAAAATTGTTCTATTTAAAAAGAAGTTAGAGTTATTTTTAAGCATTTTGTAATTTAGTTCTTTTTTTGATTTCAACAAAGACATTGTTTCCTAATTACGAAATTACATTCGCAGGTTAACGTTGTTCAAGTTATCTTCATTATTTGATTCTTATTCATTAAATGATATTCTTAAAAGTATGTTTGATAAAAGTCTTAATTTTTTTATAAAAGTTTAAAACTGAAACTTATCAATATCATATAAAAATTTAGTATTTTAATTACTTAGTTAATTATACGTATTTGATTTATAAAAAGTAATTAAATATATTTATATGCCGCGTTTCGTAAGTTTCTTTCCGATAAGAACTGTTTCGTAAGTTGCTGTGCGAAAGAGTTTCGTTTTGAAAGAAATTTGGTTTTTTATCATTATTTCAAAAAATAAAACCTTAAAATGTTTATATGTTGCAATACTGAAAATAAAATTTTATTATAAACATTTTGGTTTATAAAAATATTACTTTTTACAATTATATCCATTTGGCCAACAAAATTTTTTTATAGACTTCATAAACGACGTTTAGCCAAAGAGCTCATTTTACAAGTGCGAATTCCGTATGCGCTACTTTCGTATGTAGCAAAATAGTTTTATTTTGTAATTCAACTTGCGAAAGGCTATATTTCGTAAAGACCATTTGCGAAATGAACATCGACGGGTTTTTTTGTTTCGTAAAATTCGGTACGAAAAAAAAAAAAAATCCTACCCTTCCGAAAGAATTTTTTTTTCCGGAATTATACGAAATTTTCCGGTTAAAAACTCTAGTATGTACTATTATATAATAATAATTATACAATTATTTATTTGTTTTTTATTTTTCCTTTTTCATTAAGGTGGCTTTCAAAAAATTAATAATCCCGAGAAAAAAAAAATGTTTGCCTCCTCCTCTTTTTATTCCCAGGCTCCAATCATCGTAATTTTTTACAAATCATCCTTATTTGACGTAACTATAAACATATAAATGTTTGAAGTTTGCTCCGTGGCTGGAAGTCAACTCAAACACCTAAAATATGCTGGATTCGCCCTTTGGTGGGACTAATGCTGTGGATGATTTTCAAACTGTTTTATTCCATCATTAAAAATTGGAATATCAAGAATCAATTAGAAAAATAATAATTCATTTTATGTTCTTAGATATTCTGATGTGAGTCTAAATATCATTGTTGTGTAAGATTTGATTAAGTGGAAAAGTAAACTATTTTAATTAAAAATATGCATAAATGTGTTTTTTTTTTGTAATTTATAAAAGGAACGTGCTTCAATTTTCAATTTTCTATTAAAAAATTCCTATAAAGAGTTAGTTTCATCGCTAAAGAAAAATTATTTCTTACAAAAACTATTTTAATTATCACGTGTTTATATTTATTAAAATAATTAAATTAGTTTTTAAGATATTGAAAACATATGCGAAATAAAGAATGCGTAATTAGTTAACCTTTTTTGCGCATTGAGTTTTTCTGAAACAACAAATATATTATTGTTTTTTAAAAAAGCACATATAAAAAAGCAAAAGATTTTGATTTATTTATAAATGTATTTTTAAAAGACATGACAAACTTAATCTCAACACCACAACGTTTTCAACTCTCGGAATTATGGGAAATATGGTGGTGAGAGTTATGACAAGTTGA